CATCAGTTTCTAGTGTTTACCTCTTATCAGCCTTCATCTTTATCATGACATCACCATACTGCTGCTGTTAGCAAATAGATATTGAACATCTTCTGCAATAAGGCCCTAGAGCAGGTGTATGGATGGAGATGGATTAAAGGGAAAAAAAAAATCCACTCTTTCATTCCTGAACACCTTCTGTGTCCCCAGCTCCACAGAGCTGGGGACCCCAAGGAAACATAAGCCACTGCCTCCTGACTTGGACTCTTTCCTTGGACCTTGCCGAGCAGACTGGCCTGTGGCTGACCAGTCTGTGTAGGGGTCTTATCCTCATCCTGGTCTCTTGGAGAGGCAGCAGCCGCTGTGTGTGGGAGGAGGGAGCTGCTGCTGAAGTCAGGGGAGCTGGGCCATTTGACAAATGGGAATCATTTTCTTCTATGTGAGGGCAAGGTCGCCGCTGTGGGCACCCACCTGTTTGTGTGGGGCCTGATCTGCTGAGCTGCTGCTCTGGGGCTCATTCAGGGACAAGAACAACAGTAAAAATAGTTCAGGAAAGCAGGAGCCAGAGCAGGCTTAGATGGTGGCATCTTTTCAGCTGTGGCAGCCAGGAGACAGAGCTTTGAATCGGCTTTATAATTTGAAAATTGGTCTCTTTGCATTGGGTGGTTATTTTGTGCTAATAAAAGCCATCAGAGACACGGTGCTGCTTGCCCTTCCTCCTTGGCACTGCTCTGGGTTCAAAAATGTTGAGCCTAAGGTGGTGATTTTCCATTCCTGGAATTCTTGGATGGTGGTGCCCCCTTCCTGAGTGGGAACCTGGAGATCCTACGAGAGCTGCGGGTCTGGGTGGTGAGCCATACTAGAGGATGGGGGGACATTGCTAGGAGAAGGGGAGGCTAAGCTGGGCCCTAGTGGAGGCTAGCCGGAAGGAGCCACACCTGTCTCGCCCGTATGTGGCTCTGTGTTTACTATGGCAGGGCCCTTAGTCAGCTCACATTGCCGTGATAGTGCTCAGAGCATCCAGGACCAAAATTTTGGAGGCTCTTTTTTTGTTCTTTGGCCGGGGAGAGGTTGACATTCCGTTTTTCCACATGGGCTTCTTCGTATGCGCTTTTTCCAGATGGTGTGCTCCTGAGAGGTCCTTGTGCTCTGGGAATGTAAATAAGGTCACCCACCATGCAGGGTGACCGAAGTTAGCCTGCCAGGACAAGGCTCTCAGAACCACATCTTGGCTCTGAGGAGCCCTGGTCACCTTGCTCCCCGTGTCACCCCCTTGGGGTGCATTGGATGTGAGTACAAAGATTGGAGTTTGAAGACAGTAATCAGCAGGAAGGGGTGGGGTGCTGTAGGCTTGTTGTAGAGGAGATTTGGGGTCTGGAGGGGCTGATGGTGGTGGGGTCTGCTGCTTTTACATAAAGTTAGTCTTGAGACTAACCGGAACTAAAATAGAATCGATAACGTGCTGCCCATACTGAGCAGTGAGGGAGTCTAGGAAGGAAAAATTATACATCACGGACTAAATGGACAAAATGAGAGTTCCAGAACTCCCAGCAAACCCAGTAAGACGTGAGATTAGGCCCCTGTCACTGGTCACTGGTCTCTCCAACGCAGCCGGTAGAAACAAGGACACCTTCTACTTTCATTAATCCCAGAGGCACCCTGAGGGTTAGTGAAAGGGCTGTTCACACAGTGGACTCCTTCCTGTGGAGATCACGCCGAACATCAAGGATGTTCTCAGGTCCAAAATGCAGCAGCGCCTTCAACCTCAAGGCCCGTAAACCCAGTAGGAGATGTGTGCTTTGCTTGTGGCCATGGACGTGAGCGCACACGTGTGTGTGCATGTGGGGCACAGGGCTGAGTTCTGAGGAGGCGGAGGATAGTCTAGCAGTGAACCACGAGTCCTGTACGTGCTGCAGAGCTCTTTCATTGTCTCACTTTGTGACCTTTAATGAGTCATACACTCCTTTGTTTTCTTATGTGTTAAATGGAGATACGGATGCTTGCTGGTTACTGAAGCAGTTCTGAAGCTTCGGGTACCTTTATTAATTCAGATACTGTCTTCGAATTCCTTCCTCTGGGGTATTATAAGAAACATAAAGGCCTCAGTCATATCGGGGTCTTCTTTGCTTTATGCTTAGGATCCACACAGTGAGTGCAGGGAGGGTAACGACAAGGTATGTGAGAGAGAGGACTTCTTGTAGCAAGTGTTGGGTTCTCCATGATCCTGACATTCTGGGTAAAGTACTTTACTCCCAGGGATGCAGCAGCTGCCTGGAGCAGCTGGAGCAGAGGAAAGGGGAGGAGGATGGAATAGACGTGAGACAGGGGCCCGTGCCACATTGAGAATATAGCCATGAATTGAGTCTAGCAAAGAGGCAATTTTCCGGGCCCAGGGGAGTGGGGGCGGGGCTCTAATGCTACAGGGACCAGATGGCAATAGTGCAGGAGGGAACTGTCAGGGGACAGGAAGACAGTGGGCCAGCTGGTACTAAAGAAGACCTGATGTGCTCATCTTGGTATCACATAGGGCTGGTAAAGTCGTGGCATCTGTGATACCATTCCCTACCATTTGTACCCATGGCAGACATCACTAATCTATCAAGACATACTTTCCTCTTATACATGGAGAAGTCTCAGAATCCTCTAGGGCCAGCATATTAGTCTGTCTTGTCAATCAGCTGGCACAAGAGTAGAAACTTATTTATTGTCTGTTGCGGTGTGATGATAGAAAGGACATAGATTTTGGAATTCAGCAAAAATGACAGTCCAGACAGGTACAAGCTTTGTAGCATTGAACAAGCACATTCGTCAGGTCTTTTTTGGTTGCGAAGGACAGAAACCCAATTTGAGTTAGCCTAAGCTAGGTTACTTAAGTAATATAACCAGAAAGCTCAGGGTATGGCTAGATCAGGAGCCCGATGAGGTTGCTGGGGTCCATCTCTAGGACAGAGTGTCTCTGCATCCTGTCTGGCTAAGCCAGGTCATTGCTGATGTCGGGGGGCGGGGGGGTGGAGGACAACAGGGCTGGTGGTGGAGGTGATGGGGTCTAGACAGGTCACAAGGGGAGCAAAAGTCATCTTGAAGGTCAACCGTAGAAGGATGGATCCAAGATACGTGTGGGGAGGGGTGGCTGGGAGAGGTGTCAAGTGTTCATCTGAATAACAGTGAGCTGCAGCAAGGAGAGAGACGGGCTCCCCAAGGCAGTTTGTTCTGGGCCCAGCAGTTTCCCTGCAAGAGCCTTGGGTACACAGAGCAGAGGAGAGGGTCATTGTGGGGAGCCTTGGAAGTGACATATCTGCTCCAACCATGGTTCTCTGGGCAACTGATGTGGCATCAGATGCCAGACTCTCTGCCCACACTGTCACCCCGTTCTCTGCTGCTTCTCTTGATCCTGCTGCACCTGACCAGGTGACAAGTCTCAATGTCGTGCCTCTGTTCTGGGGTACTGCCTGGGCCCAGGCTGAGCTGATCATGGGTAAACCTTGGAAGATCTAGGGTGAGGCATCCAGCTGATCCGACGGGGGAGGGCCCACCAAGTGGGCAGTCCTTTTTTTTTTTTTTAAGATCTTATTTATTTATTTGACAGACAAAGATCACAAGTAGGCAGAGAGGCAGGCAGAGAGAGAGGAGGAAGCAGGCTCCCTGGCTGAGCAGAGAGCCCGATGCGGGGCTCGATCCCAGGACCCTGGGATCATGACCTGAACCGAAGGCAGAGGCTTTAACCCACTGAGCCACCCAGGCGTCCCCCAAGTGGGCAGTCTTAGAGGCAGTCCTGAAGGCTTCAGTTGCCCTTACACCAGAGAAGTGTGAATGCCTCTACTCTGGATTTTATTGGTTCCCAAACAGGGTTCCTCCTTGTGTCCCCTCTACCCTACCCTGTCAATCCCAGCCATGCACAGCTCCCTTTCCCCAATATCGAATGCTATATGATGAATCACTCCAAAACAAAGTGCTTGTAGTAGTAAGCACCTGGCTGCCTCCCACAGTTTCTAGGGGTCTGGAATTGCTCAAGGCTCTCGCATGAGGTTGCGGTCAGATGGTGAGTGGAGCAGCTGGGGAGTGGCTGGGAGTCTCTCCCTGCACATGGGCTCTCTGTGTTGGCTAGTTTGGGCTTTCTCACCCCATGGCAGCCTCAGGGCATGCACTGCGTTGTTTTGAAAGGCACAGACTGTCATTTCTTATGTACTTTATTGGTGGGATGGTCACCAAAGACCAACCCCATTTCAGGAGGAAGGGACATAGATCCTCTTTCCTAATGGGAGGAATGTCAAAGGATTTACTGACATAATGTAAAACCATCACAGCCCTCAGCCTGCTCCTACTCAACCAACACTCATTGCCCAGATGGGTTTGAGGTACCTGGAGGTGACCTAAATTTGGTCCAATGCCTTCATTTCATTATACTATTTTTATTTTTGGAACTTGGGTGCAGAGACTTGAATGAATTACACTCTTCAATTCATTGTGCATTTGTCATCACTGATTCACGCAATGACTCTCTCTTCATTCATTCATTCATTCACTCTTCCTTTTTATCCCTCTATCCTACTTTCCTTTTTTCCTCCTCACTTTCCTTAAACAACCATTGTATTATATTAAATGCATATCCTTTATTTCTGTGTGTTCTTACAAATGTGATCGACAGATCACTTTGCATATGTACCGTTCTCCGGGTCCTCCTTTTCCCACTTGCTCCATTTTTCCAGGTCCATACATGTGCCATGCATGTATGCTATAATGCATACATCTCCTCTGTCTGGTCGCCTAACATGAGTCAGTGAGACTGGAGAGGAGGAGCGACATGCCCAAGGTCACACAGCCGAACTGGGACAAGAATAGTTTTCCTGACTCTTGTTTTCTCAGCAGCACACACTCATGTTTGCATGGTCCGCCTCCCAGGCCCTCGCAATAGTTCGAAATAAGATTTTTTTTTTTTTTTTAAATTGAGAGTCTGTGTTCCTTTTCCAAACTCTCCTGTTTTCTCCCTAGTAACTGCCATCCTCTGTCTTCTGCTCCTGCAGGTTCCAACTATGGGAGCCCACGCCCAGCTCATGCCAACATGAATGCCAATGCTGCTGCGGGGCTCGCCCCTGAGCACATCCCCACGCCGGGGGCTGCCTTGTCCTGGCAGGCGGCCATTGATGCGGCCCGGCAGGCCAAGCTGATGGGTAGCGCCGGCAACGCGACCATCTCCACGGTCAGCTCCACGCAGCGGAAGCGGCAGCAGTATGGGAAGCCCAAGAAGCAGGGCAGCACGACGGCCACGCGCCCGCCCCGTGCCCTGCTCTGCCTGACTCTGAAGAACCCCATCAGGAGGGCGTGCATCAGCATTGTCGAATGGAAATATCCTTTGTGCTTGGGCCTGGGCGGGCTGCCCCCGGGAGCCCCAGCGGGGCCAGCCCCATGATTGCTCCCTGACCCACTGCATCTGCGTCCCTGGGGCGCTGTGTAAACGCAGTTTTTTCAGTGCTGCCCGAGACTCAATGAATCAGAATGTCTGGAGATAGGGCCCAGGGATCTGCTGGAGTGACAAGCAGGGTCTTTTTTCCTCATATATTTTTTTTTTCATCCCAAAAGCCACATTTGAGAAAGCAATCCTGGGAGGTTATGAGATATCATCTAACATAGCTGAGCCTGTCCTGTGATCCGCCGGTGTGGTGGGTGAATAGTGGTCACGTGCTACTTACCCCCTAGGCTTCTTTGCCTCCTGTGTCATGGGCCTGGTGTAGTTTTGTGACCTCTGCTCTCTGTAGGAGGAGGGAGCCCGAGAAATGGGAGAGGGCAGTGGTCAGTGACCCACCCTGGCTCTTGGTTCAAGGCCTAGGAGCAGGTGTTCTCAAACTTGGCTGCACATTGGCATTGTCTGGAAAGTTGTAAGAAAACACAGGCGCCTGAGCCCCACCCAGGCATATACGAAAGTTCTCCAGGTCATTCTCCTGGGCAGCCAAAGTAGAGAGCACTGGCCTGCAGTTTCAAACGCAGGTCCACTTTGCATGTCTACCCGGTGAGTGGGCCCTTCTGAGAAAATGGCTTTGAAGGGCCAGGCTCTCACTATGGAATTACAGACCCCTTAACATCATGGGAATTGTGGGGTGGTGGAGATGGAAAGGATCTTCAAGGTCAGTAGGTCCAGCCCTGACTTGGCCCAGTGATGACATTGGGCCCCACATGGTCATACGGTTAGTGACAGACGGACTAGAACTCTGGGACTTAGTGTTGGGCATTTTCATAATAAGAATTCATTCAGGCGGGTTATCATGTCTCCTGGGGCTCAGGATGGGAGGGTTCTATGTTATCCATGAGCTTCCATGGAAAGATTGAAGTGCTTTAGTAGGTAGGGGTTGAAAGGCCAAAGAAGATGGCTCGGGAGGGAAGAGTTTCTGTTTAGCAAGAAACGTCAGTTCTGTAAATGTTTGAAGCACTCAACTCAAAAGGTAACTTTAAGAGAAGGCAGCATAAGCCACGTGGCGGCTGGAGAGCTGGCCATCTGTCCTGAGTGGCTGGGCAGGCTTCCTGTTCCCAGAGGACCGGGTGAGAGGCCCGGCTCAGAGGCCCGGCTCTGGGCAGCCCCAGCATGCTGCTGTCACAACGGCTCCATCAGAACCATGCAGTGGGAGAGCTGGGGCCCATGTGGGTCAGGTTCCCCCAATGGAGAGGGCACTGAGGCCTGGAGAAGCTGAAGATCTGGCCCAGATCACACAGCCTGCAACTCACAGAGCTGGGTTTTAAATCCAGGTTCTCCAAGTCCCCAGTCCATGCACGTGCCCCTCCCCATGCACCCACAGCACAGAGGAGACGTACTAGGGTACATGTTCAGGGGACACTGTCCAGCCCACAGGGATGTGGAGGGACCTGGATCTGGGGCCTGGACCATGCCCCATCATGGTGCTGCCCCCTGTATTCTGAGTGGTCACAGGTCATTGGAATCTCCAGAGCTTCCATTTCCTCATCTCCAGTGGCAGAAACCAGCGAGGGCGGCAGGGTCTGTGCCTGTGGGATCCTGCTCAGAAAAACACGTCAGGGGACGTGTTCCGTGCGTATGAGTTAACTTCATCAGCTCTGATTTCCCCTCCTGGGACGGACAACTCCCTGAGAGGCAGCCCTCTGTGCAGAATGGAGCAGCAGGTGGTGATTTACTGGCCTGGGAGGAAGTGAAGAGGGGAGAGAGCAGCACACAGGGCAGGAGGGGGAGTGTGGGAGAGTGGGGGCTTTGTAATGGCGGTGTCTGGGGCACTGTCCATGGAAACTGGTCACAGAGCCACAGGGGGCCCAAGGCAGGGACTTGTGAAAGGTCCGTTGACCAAGTCAGCAGCAGTGTTAGCCAGGCCGTGCCACCCCAACCGGGGGAATGTGCCCTCCCCTCCTGCAGGAAAGGAAGCAGGCCCAGCTTCCACAGCGCGAGTGGATGGCGTTCCCACATTGCCCTGGAAGGATAGCTGGACAGGTCAGGAGGTGGTCTGGTGTACTCGCCTGTCTGCGTTCCTGGAAAGAGTGGAGTCCAATGCTGTCATTAAGAAGGAAAGACAGTTTAAAAAATGCTCTGGCTGTCACAGGGTGACACAGTACGTTTCCAGGTTTTACCTGGCTTCTCTTCCACTTTGCAGTTGGTGGCTTTTCTTATCTGCCTGATTGGTTTCTTTATACATTATCATCTCTAGCAGTAGCCGGGGACTTTTAGCATAAGATGATGGATGGGTCGCCTGGATTAGGGGAAGGTGTAGAAGTGATTATGTAAGAAACACCCAAGCTTAGCCACCACCCACTTTGGTGGAAGGAACGAGTTGACATTTGAGGACAGGTGCATGAGGTCTGACTCAGTTGAACCAATGTGCTGTAGCCCTGGTGGGGGGTGGGGGGGGAACAAGGGACCAGACGACGGGAATGAAACCGACCAGCCCCTGGACAGAATGGGACTTTCGTAAGCAGGTGGGGAACTGGCTAGGAGGGAAGGAGTTTTGTGGTAGGAGTTTCATGGTAGGAGGTCTAAAGTATGAACTTTCTAAAAATGCTTCAGAGTGACGTCAGGAGAGATCAGCTTAGATATCAGTGTAGAGTAAGTCATCCTTGCAAACTCTGACTTGAGAACCAGACTTCCTAGGTTTGAATCCCATCCGACCACAAGCTATGTGACGTTGGGCAAGTTAGCGTTTCACCTCTCTGTCTCCTCCGATAGAAACGGGGATGGTAACTGCATGTTCAGTTCGGGGGTTTGCGCGAACAGAGCAGGGCCCAGCACCACACAGTGGTGTCAGCCACTGTCCCACCTGCTGTTGTCACCGTCTTCAACACCACCAGCGTCCTTACTGGTTCCTTGGTCAACTTAAGGGGCAGCATGGCCCATTGGAGAATATGGGTCAGTAGGTCTGGTTCTGGCCCTGGTCCTGCTACTTGTCAGCATGGAACCTGGGAGAGGTTGTTTTGTTTTCTGTGTCTGTCAAGTAGGGGGTTAGGCTGCACGTCATCTTCCTGATATCAGGGCACACACAGAAAATGACAGCTTTCATGAGGTGTGCTGGTAAATGGACCCCCAGCTACACCTGTGCGGCCGAGGGGGCTCCATGACCAGCACAACGGCTAAAGCCATGACCAATGTGCCTTCCAGGCCCAGAGTTGCCCTGTTAACGTAGGTCAGAGGCCATTCACGGTGGGGGAGTGAACGCTGGACTCTGTGCTCAGGGTTCTAGGCGTGACTGGGAAGTACCCGCTGTGGGGTTTCAGAAAAGTTTCTCAGGCTCTCTGGGCCTCAGAGGTTTAGACGAGATGATCTCCCTGCTTCAGTTCATTAACTCCGTGAGTACAGATTTCCCTGGGAGAGGAAATTGTTCCCATCTTCTAGAGATTTCCATCCTTTTTCCCTTCCTTATCTTGTCGGGCTCCATGGACGAGGCCAAAAACAGGGCAGTGCTGGGGAAGATGGGGTCCAAAGACCATGAACTGGCCTTCCCTTGAAGCTTCCCCCTTCTGGTCCTCAGCTGTAGGTTCAGGGTGGAGGGACCAGTATCATATTAACTCCTCTTTCCTGGAGAATGGGTTCTGCCCAATATTTTGATAACGAAATCTGGGCCCAAGAGCCTCACGAAGTGCATGGCTGTTAGTGAGTGAAGTTGGCTCGTCCCTCCAGATCCCAGCACACTCCAATGGAAGTCAAGAGCACCTAGAACATAAGGCTTGGCCCCTGAAGGTGGGGCCTCCACAGACTGAAGAGGGTTGGAGGAAAGATGGTGGCCCTGCCCTGAAGGACAGGACATAGGCTGCCACGCTCTTGAGCGTCCAGAGCGCCTAGCCGTCATCAGGTTCCGTGGAAGGTGTCAGGAAATAAAGTAGGATAAAAGAATAACCACTCCCAACTTCAGATTAAAAGATCAAAAGTAAATCTCCGAATTTCAAAGGAAAATCTTGATGTCAAGTCTGCCTCAATTCTGTCTCACCTCTCCTGCCCCCCAGCTTGAGCCCCCCCCCCCCCCGGGGCGGGGGCAGCATGGAAACCACGAGAGAAGGGGTGTCGGGGGTACTGCCTGTCCCGACCGGAGCAGACCCTGCCCTGTAGAAACAACCCCAAGCACACATGGGGGAAAATGAAGTCCAACGCCATCTAAATAAATACAAGAAGAAGAAAAAAAGTTTTTAGAAATCTGTGTTTACTCTGGCACGCGACTGGCCTCCACTACTTTTGACATATTAGGAAAAATTTTGGCGGGGACCCATTAGAAGCACTTAAAAAGGCATATGTTTCTTTTCAGAATACAAGGGGCTTGGAATGTATTGTTAAAACAAAATTCTTAGGAATCTTTGATTCATTTAAAAATATATGTATATGTATGTTTGTTTCACTTGTGCTTTCCGCAGCATTGACTTCCTTAACTCTCTTCCTCAGACCATTTGAAATAATTATTTTACTGACTATTTTTGCCAATTGTGTGGCCTTAGCGATCTATATTCCCTTTCCAGAAGACGACTCCAACGCCACCAATTCCAACCTGGTAAGTCGACCATCCCGTCTCTCTCTGCTTTTCTCCCTCGGTGGAGGACCGAGCTCGGATCACACAGATTCCAGGTGGAATGTGGGGATAAGTGAGATGTGCGTGCGACACGTGCAGGGGTGCTGCCAACCTCAGAGCTCAAGTGCTGTTGCTGTCTATTCAGATCAGCACCTGTCTTATCACAGCCTGTTTTCAGGAAAAATATTTCAATTAGGTGGTGGTGAGCTGTGTGTGTGTGTGTGTGTGTGCGTGTCCGTGTCTGTGTGTCGAAGGCTACAAAATGTGCTGCCTAAGTTGCACGTGCAGGTGTTTGCAGGAGCAAGCTTTTATTCTTGGATCATTTTTGTATTTATTTTGAGCGATGGTGTCCCGTTGGTAGGGTTTGCTCAGGTGATCTGTAGTATCACTGCGCAAGAAGCAATTTCTAGGAAGCTTTCAGGAAAGTTTCCTATTGCAGCCAAGATGCATTATTTAGTTGACGAGGTTTTATTTTCTTGGGAAAGACAGCTTTCCATTTGGATTGTTGGGAATCCAATGCTGCTGGCAGTTCGGGGTTAGAATTTGTCCATGGAAAAAGCGTGGAGTGTGTTTACTTTTGGCCGAGCGTGAAGTCATTACAGAGGCCTTTGCTCCGTCTGGGCATGGGAGGAAAAGAGCTCTGGAATGCAGCTGGCAAAATTGGGGCAGTCTGGGATGCCTCTGCCACAAGCCATAGGAAAAGCCTGTCTCTCTTGCCCTCTCCTGCAGACACCATAACTTTTCCTGTGATTCCCACCAAATGCATCTTTCCCCATCATCAGCACCTTCCTCTAATTAGTGAGATGGGACTGTCTGATGAGATCATTCTGAAAAGAAGCAGAAGGGTTACCAAATTCTCCTTTCCCTTGTTGCTGGCTGTGGATGGCATCACGGCTGGCGTTCTTCTGTTTCTTAACCTTCGACATTTTTCTTTAGTCCCCTCAGCATCTGAATCGGAGGCACATTTTCAACTCCTCTGCTGCATTCCCCAGTCAGTTAGGCCTGGCTCCACACCAAGTAAGGTAATGTGGCTCGGCTGGGGCGGCGTGTCAGGGACAGATTCCAGAGCTTGCCCCAGAGCTCCAAGGGATGACACGGCCAGAGTCAGCAGGCGGAGCCCTTGCTGCCGTCCTCACAGCCTTCTGAGGCATGACCTTGTCTCTTAACAGGCAAGAAATCTTTCCTGTATCAGAATAAGTACAAGCAAAAGTGTCTCCCGAATGGCCCTTCAAGGAGGAGCACCTTCCATGGGCTGTCCTTCTCTGCATGTCCACCCCCCTCTCCCAGCCTCCCGAAACCCCCACAGCTTCGCACTTAATCTGCAACTTAAAAAAAAAAAAAAAGACTCTGTGTCTTCTTCTGAAGATGGTGAGGCTTTGGGTGGACTCCAGGCAACAGCAGTGGGGAAGGTGGACAGAGAGTTTTAGGGGGTTTGCCTTTAGTCCCTGCCTCAGCCCCTCTGGCCCAGCTCCCTGGGGGATTAGCAGCAGTGGGGGGTAGGGGAGGCGCTGCTCAGAGAGGGCAGCCTGCACTGGCTGCATGTGGGGCTGGGAAGCTCGCACTTGGTGGGGGCCGCCGGGCTGGGGAGACCATAAGGGGCTGTGTTAGACCTACTCCAGAGCTAGGGAGGAGGTTGCCGGGTACAGAGACTGTTGGAGGGACAGTGGATTTTTAAAATCCCACTGCAGAGTGATGGAGGTGTTCTGAAGCTGGGTGCGCAGCTGTGTGACTGCACTAAAAATCCTGGCATCATACACTTAACAAGGGGTGACTTTTATGGTATGTCAATTATACTTCCCTAAAGCTGTATTTTAAAAAAAGAGTAACACCGGCATGAAAACCAGGACCTCACAAGACTTCCCAGTCAGTGGCTTGTTGCTCTTTTCTTCCTTACAAATGAGGGGGGAGGTTACATAGGTGGAGGGAGAGAGGGGATGGGGACAGCTAGCGAACTTTGTTGTGAAGTTACTAGGAATTTGGGGTGTGTGGAACAGAGGGTGCAAGATTGGAAAGGGGCTTCTCATTGCTAGAGTAGTTCCTTGTTCTTTCAAGTCACAGCTTGGCCAGTGACTTACTAAGGGAAGGAAGCGTGTTCATGTTTCCTTTATCCCCAGTCCAAACACACACAGACACCCAGACACACATGAGGGCACAGGAGCGTACAGACACACACGAACACACACACACACACGGATACACGTGCAGACATGCACGCACAGACACATATATACAGAGAGACACAGACATACATACACAGACACATTAACACATATAGACACACACATACATAGACACATGCAGACACACACGTAGAAATACACACACAGACACATGTACACAGAGAAACACACACATGCAGATACATACATAGAAATAGATAACAGACACACACACAGAAACAGACACGCACACAGACATGTATACACACAGACACACATAGACACAGACACAGACAGACATAGACACACACAGACACACAAACATACACATATGCACAGATACACAGAAACACATACATACATACGTAGACATACACGGACATACACACGGACACACACAAAGACATAGGCACATGCTTCCCTAATTCTGCTCTATCCGAGCTTCCTTTAATATATATGTAATTTAAAAATTTTAATCTTGACATGTTTTTTCAGGAAGAGTATGCATTTGCTACTTAGGCCAGTTTGTTTTTGCTCTCTTCAGCTCCGTGCTCTCTGTGTTCTGTCCCCATCTCTAGGAAGTAAAAGATATGGATCTCAGTTGGCAAACTCAGGAGGGAAAGAAATGCAACTTGTTTTTGCTTTTCTCTCACTGACCATTCTGCCTGATTTGTGACTCCTGTTGCCTGCGGCCATAAACCTCACCTCTGTAAGGTCAGGGCTCTCAGCCCCTTTCCGGGAGTTGTAGCTCAGGGCCACTGCGTTGTGGAGCCAAGGGGACGTGCTGTTCTTGGTGTGGCTGAGCCACACTATTGAAGTGGCCTTGTCCCTCCTGGAGGGGCCTTGGTCTTTGGTCCATGCAGGCAGTGGGCTTTCTTGTTCCCAACATGGGGTCTCTTGATCTGTAGCTCCAGACCTCTCCTGGCCATTGCTGGGGCTGTGAGAATGGAGACATGGTGAAGATTTCACGGGCCCCCTTTCAAGGACATATCCCAGGGTCTCACTCGTTTTTGTTTCCTGGCTGATGCTCCCAGGTTCGCCAACTTGGGATCTTTGTTTGGGCAAGGTGGCACAGCAGAAGCCCCTAGTGGTCGTGCAGACTGTCCTCAGTGCCCTGGCTTACACTCCTTGGACTCTGAAGCCATGTGTGACTCCTGTTCTCTGCATCCCACTGCATCATACCTTCCCTGGGACCCTGAAGGCCACTGACCTGGTGGCCAAGGGGCATTAGAAAACCCCTGAAACAACCAATGAAGCCAAACCCACATTGGCTTATAGGCCAGGCTATCATTCTGCTCCCTGGATGTAGCCAATATGAACCTTGTGATTTGGGCCTTCCTCTTCCCCCTTCTCCCTGCAGCATCTCATGTTGTGAGATGCCCTCTGTAGAACTCTTTGCCTTTTGGCTCTGGGACAGAGTTACTATTAAGTCCCCTTCTATCTCTTCCCACTTTCTCCCTGCTTCTTCTAGTTTCTAGTCTTGTTTCTATGGGAACTTTGACCAGGTCGCTGTCCTGGTCGTCTTATTTTCTCTTTTTGTGGTCTCCCCTTGGTGAGCTCAGCTACTTCCACAATTTCATGTTCCCTTTCTAGTTAAGTTGTTCCTAGACTTAGGTGTCCAGCTCTGAGCTCTTCCCTAAGACCCGGACTAGTGTTTCCTGCATTAGAGGGGCCCATGGACCAGTGCAGTAACTCCTGAGACCGCCCTGATTGATATAACCACTTGGATAACCTCAACAGAAAGATGCCGGTGTGTGGGTAGATCTGATTCAGATTTAGTAGTTCTGGGGCATGGCCTGGGAATATGCATTTGAAAAATTCCTACTGGGCTGGAGTTAAGGGGCTAAGGATTAGTCAGGTTTGGGAACTACTGGGTTTTTGGATAGTGCTAAATTTTTTGTTGGGCTGATGTGGTTCCATGCCTTGGTCTTACCACTTTGTCTCTTAATCTGGATCTTCATGTGGAGTTATTTTGTCTTCTTGAAGCTCCTATCCCTAGCCTGGTAGATGGAAGTCACGCTCCCGCCCGGGGTTCTGGGGCAGAGAAGGGCCAGCAGCCGGCAGGAAACGCCCAGGGCGGTCCTGGCCCATAGTGATATGTGCCAGGATGTCCTGCAGACCCCTCAGACAGGCAAGTCCACGTAGGACTCAACTTCCCTCTCTTCACACAACCGGACTCCAAAAAAGAATGTAAAAGAAACCATGCATGAACATTGCTTCTGACCTTTGCCTTTAGCCTAGTCACTGGTTCTGTCAACCTTGATGTCATACATAGTCACCTTGAACACCTTCTGTTCCTCACCATGCTCATCGAGCAGATTCAGATAGGGCCATCACATTTAGCTTCCTTTCTAGTTCCAAAGTCATTTGTGTGAACTTTCTGGGCCTTCGCTTCTTTGTCTGTAAAATGGGAATATCTACCTCATAAGTTGCTGTGAGAATTAATGAGGTAAGATGTTTAAGGCTCTTAGAAGAGTGCCATGAGGAGAGCTCCGTGTGGGGGGTGGTGTTGTTGTTACCATCCTGCCATGGACAGCATCCCCCCCAGGCCATTATGGCCCTTTGCCTGGACTCTTGCAGTCACTGCTTGCCTTGTATTCTGCCTCTGGTATCTCCTTCCATGGGTCCATCTTGTGCTCCTTCAGTCATTTGACAAACATGCATGCCAAGAGCCAGGCACGGTGTTTGGGATATTTCAAGAAGCAGACAGGAAAGATAAACATACAGATGTTTGCAAATAATGAAATGTCTTATAAGGGGTCAGGGTGTCAGGGAGGAAGCATGGATTCATTTAGCTTTTGGGAAGGGGATAAGGGAAGGCTT